CCCCAAAACCCCAAAACCCCAAAACCCCAAAACCCCAAAACCCCATCACTCCAAAGTCTAGAAATAAATAAGTGATTTATAAACTAATTGATATCTTTTCATTATGCTTCACCCTCTTCTTCTCCATCTTCAGTAAACACTCCAATTAGTTTTGGTTTTTCAAGATCAAGGTAGTCCTAAGTACCCATTCTGATACTATGAGTTCTCAAACCGCAATTGAAATTGATGGTATCTCCTTACTTCCTTAAACTCTCATCAACTAAAGTGGGTGTTAGGAAAACGCTGCCAAAAGGAGGAACTGCTCCTGGTAAACAACCAGTCCTATCATAAACTTCTTCAGGAGTAGCAAACCTCATATTCTTGATTTTCAATAGTTTCTTAATGTGTTTCCATGAGAATTTTTTACTTGCACTCATAACTGCGAGATAAAACAGAGCTGATTCAGCAACTCCTTTAGAATTATCTTTTAGAAGCATTGCTTTTGCTCCTGATGCTAAGGTTGCTCCTCTAATCTCAGCTGCAGCCTTGGAAGTTAGTACTGGTTCATGCTAAATTTGTTAATGTAATTGGATTAAATACTGTGGTCAGTTTGTATTATATTCCCTTCTCTTAAAGCATAGCCTCAATTTTCAAGAAAGTTGCAGGATTTTCTTGCTCTGGCTGCTTTTACTATGTCTATCTCTAATCTGTTTCAGTTGGGTTGCTTGATTCCATTTTATCTGTAAATTATCTTAAAGGAATTTATTAAATTAATTTAGATTTAATTCAAGTCTTAAGTTAATTTGGAATTCATTTGACTGAGAAGTAATTTGGACTGTAAGATCCTACTCCTGGACTGCAACTCTTTTTTTCATCTACTATCGTTTCCTTTTTAGCTCTGTAAAACGTTGCAGGGCCTACGCTTGCTCTCTTAGTCGTAAGTACTTGATCTTCATAGAATCCTGGCCCAGGAGAGTTTTCTTTGTCATTAATAATAGTAGGAATTCTTCCAGCTTAATGGTTAAATCTTTATTCTCTTTTGAAAGATCCAGGTCCTTTGGGGTTTTAGAAACTAGAATATACGAGATTGTTTAAATACTCTGTCTTTTAACTACCTTTTAATCTCTCAAGTTCTTATCTGATCATAGACTATTTGGTGCTGGATTCACCCTAAGTTGATGACTCATGATGATTAATAATCTGACTTTTATTGCTAATTTGCTTGTTTCCATTATTTCCTTTCATTGCGAGTGGTGGTTATGGATTTCTCGTATTATTATTATTAGTATTACTATTGACAAATGACTGTCTCTTTTAATTCTTTGCAATAAAAGATCCTCCTTGCATTTACTGTGTAAAATCATTTTAGGATGTAGATCTTGAATGAGAATTAACACTGCTTGAAATAGGAATACCCTTTTGATTTGATTAGAAGGACCGCTTATATCTATCTTGTGAGCTTTCTTGAGTAAATTAGATTCCCTAGATTTGATTCATATCAAGGTTTGATTGCATTGGATATTCAATAGTATTTGTTCTATTGCAAAAAACTCTATTTTTAGGTGTATTTGAAGGCAAGTTCTGTTATTCATTCAACTAAGATTAATTGCTTAATTTAGAGTCATTCCCTGCTTTTCACTTCATTAATTCTTACTGTAATTTGTAATTAGCCATGATGTTTTGTTGTGTCGTAATATTCTCCTAGCTTCTATGAGGTGATTCATTGGTTTAGTTGAAATGCCTAAGAACGTCTATTGTCTTTCTTCTATCAACTAAGCTAGGATGTCCTGGCAATTAATCATTCTGATTCTGATATTAAGATGTAGGAGTATTTGACTGTTTGATTGATCCAAATTTATGAGATTGTGTGTTTTAGCTAAAAGATGGGCTACTTGCGATGGACTGAGAATCGGTAGTGTGAATTAAATACTACCCATATATCTATTGATCTTCAATAGTTCTTACACTTTGCTGACTAGTCAAGATAAAAGAACTTAAATTCTGATAGATGTCTTCAGTCAAAATATTGAGTAAGAGTTTGATATGATTCTTGTACTTGTGGAGTCGCTGGAATATTTCATTTTCGTGAGTACCTTGTCGAATCATTACCTCATGCTAGCCAAGCAGCATCTAAATGATTGATTGAGAGATCAAATTCAAATTGTTATCTTAATTGAGCTTGTTTGCTGTTTAGCCTAAATCCTGATATGAATTAGCCTCACATATTAGTCTTTCAATTGTTGCAAACATTTTAAAATCTAACGAATTAATTATAAATAATTTGTGATTAATTAACTGCTAAATATAATATTTATAAAAGATCAACAGCAACCAATAGATCTTACATTAAAACTTTATATTCAGCGTAATAATGAGAAATAATAGCAGAAACTAAAACCTAAGACAGATCTAGACAGACTAGGCTTAGGATCGATTTAATATGCCATTCGTAGATATGACTAACTTTTAAACTACTTAATTTTAAGTTTAAGAGGAATTCATGTAAAATAATACTTCAGAAAAAATGAAGCGAGCAGACATTTTTAATGATATTGAAACAATTGATGATGCTACAAATATTAATTCATAGATAAATCACAGTGAATAAACTAAACAGAATCAAACTAACAAATCATTTACAAGTTCAAGATACAATTTTAGACAAATACTTTCACCATAGTAAGAAAATCAAGTACTAGCTAATCATGTTAAAGATCTTCATCATTAAAAAGCTGATTTGATTAAAGCCTTTGAAAACTTAAACTAATTTTCATGCTAACAAAGCATAGTTCAGAACAACAGTGTTAATCAGAACCCTTTCAAAGGATAAAATGATCTCTCAATGTAGTATAATCTGGAATCTAAGTACCTGAAAGAGCAAAAGTCTTCTGGTTTGCAAACCCCAAATGACTTAGAATAAACAGACACTACATAATTGGCACATGTGATAAGTTAAGTTAATTAACAATAAAAGTAAGGTGAAATTCCTTAAAATGCTTGCAATGTTTAATAGTAGAATGACCAATATTATAATAGAATAAAGCTTCAGGAAATTTAGTAGCATAATCAGTAATTGAATTAGCTGTACAGATATCCATAAGAAATTTCTTCTACTCCTAAGTAATTTCATTAGTAGTACTTGAACTAATTCATAAATCAACCTCCTTAAATAGTAAATTAAGACAATTACTTCAATGTCCTCTAGCATGGATATATGAATCAATAGTATATTTAGGATTAGCAAAATTACAAATCAAATGGAAGAAACTCTCAAGAAGAATAGGATAGAATTGATAGACAATGATAATTTTCTTTTTCAGAGTAAAAACGTAGACAAAGTAATGACCAACAGTAGCTAAACTTATTCGCATAGTCAATTGATAAGCATCCAATACCTTTCAACCTTCATGAACAAAGTACCTAGTAAAACGCTAATCAAGATTGTCAATAAGATTTAGTTCAGATGGGGTCAGTGCTGATACATTAGGACACCCATAAAATTGGAGCATAGAATTAGTAGCAACTTGAGAGTTATAATTCAATGCTAAAGATTACTAATAATTCCTCTAATTAATAAAGTTTACAACAAAATATTCACCCAAGAAATAGATAACATGAAAATAGAGAGTTCTCCAATTAGCATATTCAAGTCTATTAAGATCCGTAATAAATTACTATAAATGAGGTATAAGCATCTAATCCATATTAAACATTTAGCAAGAGAGAAAGCATTCATCATAATGATAGCATCACAGAAAAGATTAAGGTACTCAGAGATGATATTTAAGTATTGTTTCCATCTTCAAAGACTCTGAAACGAAATGAAACATCCTCAACAACCAGAACTTATAATTAGCATCAGCAGAACATACCTATTAAAGATTTGATAAACAGAAATAAAGATGAATAAATTATGCAGCCAGTTACATTTTTAGCAAAGTCTAGATCATAGGAGAGAGATAATTTATACTCATAGAACATCTTGAATTCTAGGATGAATAATTATCAGCAGTACAAAGTAAATGCACCTGATCAGAGCTAGCTTATTTTTGAAAACACCTAGGATGATTTAATGAGCACCTAGTAGTTTAGATCAAGATCAAAAGAACTACTAAAATCAGAAAAGTAATAGCAAAATATGATCTCCCTTACTGCTCGTATTGAAGAAAATAAATAACGCAACTAATCCATCCTTGATAAAAATTCTCGCAAAAAAAGTAGTTCAGGAGCTATTATAGCATCTAAAAATAAACTAAAATTTGTAAAGACATCAGGAAACTTGAAATTAAACAATTAGCTAGATCGGATGGTCAATATTGAAAAACAGGGAATTATTCCAACTATTCATGATAATAAACCTCCATACGATTCAAATGATATTCAATTTTTAAAAGATGAGATACTATAATTGTCAGAATTGCTTTAGAAAGAATAGCATAACTTTAAGAAGTTTAAAGAATCATACTAGAGAAAAGCTCAAAGAGAAAGTGAAAAGTATCAGAAAGAAGTCTCTTAGCTAAAGACTGAATTGAATCAAATAGAAGCAAAGTATCTAGAAGAGGTGAAAAGAATAGAATAAAGATATAAAGAGTATAAACTGCATAAGGCTAAGAGATATTAAGAGAAGTTGCAGGATTTGACTACCAAAATTGATTTGAAACTACTGAAGGAGAAGTAATATAGCAAGTAACTTGAAGATCAATTAAATTCTATGAAAGAAAGTGAAATAGGAAAATGGGATTAAAATTAGATTGACAGATTTAAAGATGAGTATGATAAAAAGCTCTAAATCATAATGGAAAAGTATGAAATGATTATCAAGGAATTGAGGCAAGATAAGAAGAACTAGAGTAATGATTAATATGAGATGCTTAAATATTAGAATAGCAGACTAGAAAAAGAAAATGCTAATCTAGTTAGATAACTAAAAGAATTAAAAATAGAAGAAACAACTCTAAAGGATTCAACGAAACAGTACTAATTTAATAGTAATAGAAATATTAATGTAATTGAGCCTTAGTCATTTGTAGAATTTGACTCAAAGACTGATAGGAGGCAAACCATTAATTCAAGATCAATGCTTTCGCAAGCTGGGAATTCAAGATCCGCTAATAGAATAATAGGGGGTGAATAGTCAGAGAAATAAATATGCAAAAATACCTAGCGAAGGTTAGTTTTTGAAGAAATTTAGAATTAGATGCCCTTGCAAGAAAAATAAAGTAAATCTAGAAACCTTAACATAAGAGGAGGTATTTTAACCTAGGTTTCATAAAAAGAGTTAAAAATGAAGTACGGAGGAGGAAATGTATCTCGAGAAAATAAATGATCCCTAAATCACCTATAAAATATAATGAGAGAATTAATGAAAATATAAATGTTTGTTGAAATTATGATTGTAAGTTAATTAATTTAATTATAAAATATGAATTAAATATGAAAACTCTAACAATCGGATTAGACTTTGAATTAGCACTTCAAAGTATTACTAATTGAGTTTTTCAAAAATATCAAATCTCTAACCAACATAGTTTGAGAATCCTTTGAAAATGTCCATTTTGATAATCTCTATCACTAGATAACTAAAATTTTTAACTTCAACTTTTCTAATATCTGCTGAGTTGATACTCAGCATAATTCTGAAATTTCATTGATAAGTAATTTCATCAAAACTTAGATTTAACATTATGATTTTCTTAATATATCTATTCAAAAATCCAAAAATTTAAGCTAATAATATACCCTATCTAATGAATTTGCACAGTCCCTTAAAATTAGATTTATTTAATGTTTGTCGGATAATAAGTAGTAGATGTTAATTATACAAAAAGATGATCGAAAATTCTGACTTTGACTAGTGATCTGACTGAATATTTACAAAGCAAATAGAGAAGTAATGAATGGAATGAATATTATAGGCAAATTAAGTATACACAATATTAATTGGATGTGATCTCTCACTTTATAGCTCATAGTTCTTGGGAAGCATCACCCTTCTCGCCCTTACCCTTTCTTGGGAGGAGGAAGACGTGGATGTTGGGGAGGACACCACCGCTGGCAATGGTAGTGTTGGCCATGAGTTTGTTGAGCTCCTCGTCGTTTCTGATTGCGAGTTGGATGTGTCTGGGGACGATTCTAGTCTTTTTGTTGTCCTTGGCAGCGTTTCCGGCGAGTTCGAGGACCTCAGCAGCGAGGTACTCGAGAACGGCGGCGAGATATACTGGAGCACCAGCTCCGACTCTCTCGGAGTATCTGCCTTGCTTGAGGAATCTTGCGATTCTTCCGACTGGGAATTGAAGTCCAGCCTTTGATGATCTTGAGACTGGTC